GGGCTGGCGTGGCGTGGCCGTGTCGCTTTCAAGCTCGCCACGCGCACGCACGGGCTGGGTCCCCTAGGTAAGCGCGGTGGGAGCCGGATGGGCCGGGTGGCCGCAGATGTGTCCCGCCTGCTCCCTCCTCCCCGGGGACTTGCAGGCGGGAGTGGGGCGGGGCGGGCCCAGTGGGCGGGCCCTCGCGGGACCGGGACGCAGACCGCTCACCGGTGCTGCGGGAGAGCTGCGGCTCTGGCCACCGCACTTCCTCCGGAGGGAGGAGGCTGGAGTGGTTCCACACGCGCGCCCTTCCCAAGCCCCCAGAAACCTCAGGTAGTATACAGTTTTTATGGTCCTTAAAATACACGGCTGGTGCTCGGTCCAGGACTTTGACTAGGGACTGCCCGCCGGAATGGAAAGCTGCGATTAGTTGGGGGCTGTTAGAGGACGCCAGGGTTCCGGTAGGGAGCGGGACTCGGAGATTAGCGCGCAGGCTTCTAAGTTGGAATACCTGAGCTCCGGTGTACTTATTAACCCAAAAAACTTGAGCAATTTGCTCAGCTTCTGTGCGCCGTGGTTTTCAGGTATGTAAAGTGATGTGCTGGCGCTTGGAATCTTTCTGAATTGTTGTGAAGATTGGGTTAATACTAGTGCCTGGCAACGAACGCTGGTTATTTTCGCTCTTTGCATTCTGATGAGCATGGATCTCTAAGGTTGTCATTTCTGGGAATCGACGCCTCTCCTCAGAGCTGTTGTCTGATTGCTTGGGAGACCCCTTTGAGGCAGTGTTTGTGAACCGAGGAGAATTTAAGGTTCTTTTCTCAAGTACTAAAGGTAGTCTGTTCTTCACTTTCTTTCAAATCAGTTCCTCACTAAACCTTACAAACACTTCTCTCTTTTTCTTCTGTGTGGTGCTTGGGATTGAACCTGCGTCCCCCCCCCCACGCATATGCTTGCCCGTGAACTAAATTACACTCCTATACTCATAAACCTTAGTTTTGAAGACTGTTGTAAAGGAAGGATGGAAGAAGATAGATACCTTTTAGGGTGAGTGTAACCACCTTTTTGAGAGTCGAGGTAAAATTTTTTGAAAGCAATTCTTATGACTTGATTCAAAACTTGTGCTGTTTGGGGTAAATGCTTACCTTGTACTATGCTATTGCAAGAGTGCATAAACCAGAGCACCTAAAATAGGTAAGCAGACGTCATTTGAACAATAGTTTGGCACGGAGAAACAGGATCGAAAGAGATGTGGAAGCCGGATGTGGTTACAAGTGCAGGCTTGTAACCTTTGCCCTCCACAGCCAGAGACAGGAGGATAGCTGAAAGTTCCAGGCAAGCCTGGGCTTCATAGTTCAAGGCTAGACCTTGTCTCAAAAGAAAAAAAGGGAAAAAAAGGACCCAGAATCAATAAATGGCAGAACTTAGATCTCAGCTCTGCTGATCAACAAATTATGAAACCAAAGGAAGATGTTACAGTTTTCAGGGGAGTTGCTGTTTTTATTTTCGACAGTTTTATGGTGCTGTGGGTTTCTTCGCTCAGCAATGTCTTGCTTGGTAGCTTAATTGCATGATTCATAGTCATTCTTCAGCACCTTTGATTTAAATCACAAGTCTGGAAGTTGCTGCATCAATTATTGCTTTGAGAACAAGATGATTGTCTTAAACTTTGTACAAACATGTTCTAACAGGGCTTTGCTTTTGTTTTTCAAAATGCAGCCCGTTTCTCTGTGTGCAGAAGGTAAAACCAACATAAATAAACTGACTTCGTTGTCTGCTTGTTATCACTGTGCTACTGGTGAAGTTTTCTGGATTGGGTAGGATACAGTCAGGAAGTGACACCCGGAATGCTACTCCTGAAATGGGAATGCAGAGGTTATGTGGCACCGTAGCCGTTCACTTCCAAAGCCTTTCATAGTAAAATTATTCTGAGTTACTGACGTGTTAGTTGCTGACTCCCGGCTCTGTGCACGGCTCACTTCCTTACCTCCGGGTATTTGTTCAGATGTTTTCTTCTTATTTAGAATTGCATGCCACCCCGCACTTCCCAGAACATATACTTACCTGTTTATGTAATTACTCCTCTGCTGTCTGCCACTAGAGGTTCCATGTGGCTAAGGGTGCTTCCACGTGTGCTCCCTGCAGTATCCCGAGTGCCGGGAAACAGTACTTGGCACGAGAAGATCCTGGCTGTGCAGATTTGAGCAGATACTTCCAGCACAACAGCTAATGTACTGACACTTTGCTTTGCCGGCCCCTCCCCTCTACTCTCAGTTATTCTTCCTTGTCGCCCTGGAATAAAACTTAGAGGCCATGTTTAATTTCCCCCATACCTTGCGCTTGACAGGCAAGCAGCAAAGTTTCTCGCCATTTTTTTTTCCATCCAAGCCACTCCCCTTGTTGCTAACCCCTCCTCCCTCTGTCCCCTCTGCTACACCTACAGCCCTGGAGTTCTCCTTTCTGAAGCTTTCACTTCTGCAGAGTGAGAAGCCCAGTGGGCATTCATCTTCCTCCCACTTGCTGATCTCAAATACACTTTTTTCAGCCGCTGTGTCCTACAGATAAAAACAGTGATTCCCAGCTTAGGCTTTGAATTACGAAGTAAGGTTCCAATGGCAGGACTGTAAAATCCTGTAAAATCCCAGGATGAGTGTTGATTGCTGCGTGATGGTTGCTTTTGTTAATGACTTGGTTGCTTTCCTCGGTGTGAGCAGACTTTAAGAAAACCTGGCCTGGTTGTGCTGCAGATCTTGACTGCCCTTTCTGGGTAGAGTGCCCCGCCCCCATCCAGCACCCCTATAATATATATATATATATATCTCCCAGATACTAAATGGGTTTAGTTGGAGTTGGATTGCTCTTTCTCAGAGCTCTGTTGGTAGTTCCCCTAGAAATTGACCAATCTTCTTTGACTAATGATTCTTTTTTGTGTTTTCCTTTTAATCTGTTGCTGCATCTAAACAGGACATGAACTATGCATGCAGAATTTCCATATTTTCTTTTTCCATTTTTCCAGTTACCTTTAAAGGAAACGTGAGGCTCGCGTCTCTGCTTTTTAAGTAAATGTGAACTCAAGCTCTAATAGAGCTCCAGATCGTTAAAGGTGGAGTCTCGCCGCTTGTTTCGAGAGAGTAGGGTCTTGGAGGGCAGGGGAATTGAGTAGGATGTTAAAAAGATGGAGATGGAAACACTGAGTGTAGGTTTCTAAGGGAGTGAGTGTAGGTAGAGAGCAGGGTACTTTGATGCATAACAGGCAGGCTGATGCTTTTAAAAATATATAATGTTAACCTCACTCAGGAAGTTGTCCAGACAAGGCAGACTGCACAGGGCACTGTCTGCAGCTTTGGGTTTCTTGTGGAGTATTATTCCTAAACTGTATTTTGTTTTTATATCTCTGGGCACACACAGTCCCATTTCTCTGCTTTGTTTTCTGAGCTGGGTGGAATGGAACATTCTCTTCTTCTGTTTGGCTCTTACTTCACATACCGTAATTTCCCTGTGTGTCTGTCTGTCTCCTCCCCACCCGGGTAGTCTAGGGTGGCCTTGAAGTCTCAGCTCTCCCGCCCCAGCCTCTTCGAGGGCTGGGATTACAGGCACACTGTGCCTGGCTTTGTTGTTTTCAATCTTAAAATGTGTTCATGCCTCTTTCTTAGTTTGTTTTCCTGTATGTGTGGAAAAGATACATCCCAGAGTTCTTATGTCCTTGGAGGTGGTCGCTATGAGTTGGTTGTTGAAACTTATAGTTTTTACTTGATATCAGCCTTTGGTTTAACAAAGTCGTGTACGATTGTACTGTAAAAATGTGTCTGTGAGCCGGGCGGTGGTGGTACACGCCTTTAATCCCAGCTCGGAGGGGCAGAGGCCGAACTCTCTGTGAGTTCAAGGTCAGCCTCGTCTACTAGAGCTAGTTCCAGGACAGGCTCTAAAACTACTCCAAAACAAAAACAAAGAAACAAACAAAAAATGTGTCTGTGTATATATTCTAATTGCATCATTGCTTTTATTTTACTTGTGGTACTTTCAGAAATAAACTTGATTCATGAATTTATTCAAGAAGCAGAGATAGGAGGATCTGGAATTTGAGACCAGCATGAGTAAGACCCTGTTTTTTGGTTTTTTGGGTTTTTTTTAACTTCAAACATTTCTACAATTCAGTCTTTGTCTCTTTTTCTGTTGCATCCCAAACTGAGCTGGATTTTTTCTGTGTTGGGGTATGCTTTAGCCTAACTTTGTTCTTGAGTTTGGATATGTAGGCAAACATAGGCGTGAATTTATTTCGCCATTCCTGAGTGAAACATGCAGTTACTAGGAAAACTACATGTCAAGGTCTTAATTTTAGACATTTTACAAGTTTAAGTTAAAATTTTATGTATTGCTTTTGCTAGTGATATAGTCAGTAGGTCAGGACTCGAGTCGTGTACTTTAAATTCATTAAGTACTGTAATTTAAATATGTAATTGGTTATCATTACATATGTATCATTACATTAGTGTACTTTGAGGAATACCTTCAGATGTGGTTGTCAGTAAAGCTTACTTTCAGGAGAAATTTTGAAAGCAAGTACTTGTTTTGGAGAAAATTTTCCTTTATTATACTATTATATTCCCTAAGCGTCTGTGTTTATCCAATCCCCCTTGTTTCTGAGATGCCTGTGTGAAGGGTGTTATGACCATCAGAGTTGTGTCGCAGACTAACAAGACCTCCACAGCACACACACAGGAAGCACCACGCCGGTAAATCTGTGTTTGAGGAAGCATTTTATTAAGACAGCACAGCCTGGAGGTGTGTGTAGTGGAGGGAGAGATGGAGTAAAGAGATCAACGTGCTGACTCAGGAGGCTGACTAAGCACTTAGGAGGCTCGGTTACTAGAAGATCTTGCCAGCCCTCTCTGCCAGAACTTCTGAGCCTATCTCAGATTTAGCCCTGAGCTGTTGGGGGAGGAGCCGGGCGGAGGCAGGTTAGAATGGAAGCTGAGGTAGCAGGTTGAAGTCTCAGGCAATTGTTGAATTTGTGGGGTGTGTGTGTGTGTTTGTGTGTATCCCCGTCTGCTGTCTGAAATCTTCCGGTCCACACAGTCACAAACCAGCCTTTCTTCAGGCCAGTGGTTGCTGTCGTCCAGGTATGCCCTTGACGTTCTGTGTGTGTTCCCGTGGGCCTGCAGAGCACCTGGATGGGAAGGCTTGGAAGAACAGTGCAGCCCATTGTAACTGGGACCCCAAAACCTTGGGAGTCTGAGAGGTACAGGCCCCAGCCTTGCTGTCACTGTGACAGTTCCCCTGGGTTCTGGATCAAGTGCAGGCCGTGCACCATGGGAAACTTTAGAGCCTTCCTT